CTACTCCTCGCTATACAGAGCGGCAATGTGCGATTTGTACATTTCAAAATATATTTTCGTTATTAGAATCGAACGGTGCCACTCTTCGAACCGCTGAGTAATTCACATGTTAAGCGAGTGGTTGCTGCCGACAACAGATTTATACTTGTACCGGTGAGTTGTGGCTGAGGTTCCTTTGACATTCGGCAATGGGAATACAAGCTTGTTGCACATAACATAATTTTCAAGCTAAAATCGAAAGAAAAACAACGAAAAGCATGGGCCTAACTCGCAAATACGCCTCTTTATCGCCACAATTATGTTGATGAACATAATTTATTTTGTTTCTCAGCCATAAATTGTAGCCACATTGTTCATGCTGGTGCATGTCAGAAACATTCCAGTCTTGTATCCATGTTTGTGCAAAAACTGTTAAACATATATTTATCGAATTATACCAACGCATCGCATTCGAATTCCGAAATCAAAGGTACTGTAATTGCAGAGCGGAAAAAGTAGCAACCGAGCGAATGAAAGAACTTTCGATGCGGCGAATGTGATATAGAGAACAAGCTCAACAAGAAATTTATTAGCCAACCGCCGAGCATGAGAGAAAGAATGTGTTTGCGTTTGTGTACGAATGCCACCGTTGCTTGAATTACCCGAGGCATTCGTTACGTAATCGACCTCATAATAATGTGGTTTCGATTGCAAGCGCAGAGACACGGAGAGTATCGGACACAGCGAAAACGAATGTTTTATTCAGACACACACACACACACATACACACTCAGGCACACTTGGAAATATGTAAATCGATTTTCATTCTGAACTGGTTGGTGTGTGCAGCAAAAATTTTTCAGTCGTTGTTCCAACGCTCCAACAACCGAATCATCGATGTCGTTTTGCTAATCGCAAATCGAATTTAATTTCGATTCCGGAAAAACGAGAAGAAAATCTATGAATATCCAATCGGGTTTTCGGGGCGGTTGAGTTGTATTTTTTTTTGCACATTCAACGCATTTGGCTGTAATAGCAATCCGAATGGGCAAACTGTGTATGGTATATGGATGTGGTCATGCAAAAGGTGTTTTTCCAAGCACATTCTGAATACACGATCAATTTGAAACTGTGGCACTGTGTACCACTTTGTTGTTGGTAGCATGAAAATTCAGGTCATTTTTTTTTTATTCTCTACATTCGCTTGGGTTTTCCCATGTAATATAGCTTATGGATCTCAATTTTGATTTACAACCGATGCAATTCGCACATTTTGCGTATTTGTTGCATTCCATTTCCATAAAATAAAAAGAAAAAAAAAACACAGCACCACACACAAAACGGGTCTGATTTCATGTTGAGATTTTCTAAATATTTGTACAAAACATTGGCAGAAAATTTATTGGTATTTTGGCTTAGAATAACATGTCAAGGCAGAAATGTCGATCAAATATCTATACAATTTCCTCAAGCATATTTCGGATGCTGATTCCAAAAATTTCCGATCGAATAAATATACATAGGTATTGGATATGAGAAGAATTCACGGCAACAACCCCTTTCCTTCGTCCCATGTGACGAATAACATTTGATACTTCATCGGCATCCAATCAATTTTCCGTCAACGATTATTTGCTGTGCTTTGCATTCCAAACTTGTACTGCGCGGTGAATCTCACGTAATCACAATTTCCTTGAAATCACAAATAGCTTTACTGTTTTTTATCACAAACTTTCAAAATCAACATGCGGATATTTACCAGATTGCGTTTTGCTTCTATTGTTTTCGTTTCGATGAAACAACTTCAGCAGTATTTTTTTCTTATCGCGATTCATTTTTTGTTCCTTTCTTTTGAATTAGGTTTCGTTGAACAAACAAGAATTCATTTAATTTGATTTTCATTCGAAACACTCGGCGAACGCCGTTTTCGGACTATTTGTTCGGTTGTCAGGTTTCATTGCTTCCACTTACCTTTCATTTCAGTCTGAACGGAATTTCTTGCTCTTCTTTTAATATCGTCTCTTTTTCCGTTAAATACTTTATAGACATTTTTTTTTTAGTTCGATGTATTTTTTTTCAGGTTGCTACTAGTATAGCAGCGATTCCCAGCTTCTGATATTATTTTTGCTGCATTCACAATGAACGATTGCAATATGGTCTTTTGCAAAGTCACTAAAAGTAACCATGGGAAAAAGCATTTTTATTTGCAACGAACTAATAGCGACACACATTTCTCTATCTCTCTCTCTCTCTTGCTCTGTCCTTTTCCTTTCTTTGTCACAGCGTCCGTGCAGCAAAAACGAATCCACATACGCGCATACAAAAAAACTATTTGCAATAAAATTACATGAGACTGCATTTCATTTTTGCCTTTTTCAATTTTTAACTTTTCTTTCGCTTTGAAATTCGCTTCTTTCGTAACAATTTCTACTATCAACTTGCGTAAACTTCAAACTTTTCTCGGCGAAAATGGGAAGTGGAAACAAAATCGAATAAAAATAAGTAGTTCACAGTTGCTGAAAAATGGTAAAAAATAAAATAAAGAGATTTCCACGATGCGAAGGGATGGGGAGCGAATGTTGAGAGTGTAGTGAACAAAATTGGTCAAATCGAGAGTGCATCTCGCTGCTGTAACCGAACTGAAGTGTAGCTACGTGCTTTTGCTCTATCGATGCAACATTATATCTGTGCAAACCGAACTATTGAGAAAATGAATTTCCCTCCGAAAATTAATGATTTTTATTGATTATATTTGGTCTTTTGTTCAGTTTTACTGTAATAGTTTTTGCCCGAGTTGATTTATTGTTTTTAGCATTCGGTTCGGTCCATTGTTTACCACTAGCTAACGGCATGAACGCAACACCAGACTCCTTTATTCTATCCGCATCATGGCATGGTGAACGCGAGAATATTGAATGCACGAACGCGAATGAAAGAATTTGAAGCGCTCGAAACGGATGACATGGATAAAATTTGAATTTATACCGGATACTTTTTGCATGGCTTGTCGCTATTTTTTTTATGCGAGATTCATGTGTTCATCTCTGCATAAATGCGGAACACAGATTACGTAAAACTTGTAAAGAAAAATGGGATCGAGTAAGAAAAATGACACGATGTATGACTAAAATCGATGTGTGCGCAATACGCATCGCATCGCACCGCACCATTTCATCTCTTCGTGAATTTTGATTAAATTCAAATATTTGTTGATTGCTTTTCAGTTGACTGCATATGAACAAGCCTTTCAGCACTAAACTTTCTTGAAACTTGATTTTGTTCTTTTGGTTTTATAGTTGCTCGCTTGTTTGATTAAGCCACATCCTTGAAACAATGTTGCACATGGCAAATATCGACAAAGTAACGTCGATGCTCGATGTTACCGATGTACCATTCAGTCAGGACTGATGGAAGGCGTTTAGATTTTTGTATGGCGGAAGAGTTAGAGAGGAAGAGAGAGAGAGAGAGAAATTTCCTAGTAAACAATTAGGTGATATGTGCAGGGCTTTCAATTTCCGTTGTATGTGCTAAAGCAGCAAAAATGCCATTAAGCACAGTCCCCACTTGTGTTTCGATGCGAAACGAATGGGTTTAGTGAAAGTTGAATAGCTTATTCGCCCGCTTGCCATCGTTATTACACCTTTTTTCTGGAACACATTCACACACGTGGCAAACGTGTTTGGATTTCTTTGCTTTGTGTGTGAACCTCCATACAAATTCTCCCTTTCATTGGCTTCGGCCGTTCAAATTGCATATCGTTAGGAAGAAAAAACACAAGACCGGTGTATGTGTGGTTTTCCTATACACTATTTTTTTGTTTCTTTCATAAATAGGGAAAAATTACATGCAGGACATGCATTCAATGATATGGTAAAGGAAATAGATTGGATTCTTGGATCATTTAATGTCGATTATGTTGTTATCTACGTTTGATGGACGGTGAAACTCGTATATGTAACTGAACGGAGTGGATACTGGAAAGCATTCAATATCAGTGTGGTCTAAAGCGTGTTCATGTTTAATTCAGTGCAGGCATCAAAGAATTAACCGCCTTTGGATTCCATCACGTGTGTTAGCCGAAGCCAATTGAGTCGAATGCATGCGTTAAATATTAATAACAATGTGGTGTGGCAAGAGTTTATTTTTTTTCAAAAGGAGAGAGCTAATACATGTCCATGCTGTAGCCGTGGATTAAAGGGAAACCAATTTCAAAGGAGAGTAAATCATATGGCTGAAGTATGCCATTTCATCATTTCAAGTTATCATTTACTTTTGATGGGAAATGATCCGCATTTGAATAAGTGCTGTGGTCAATTATGTATTAAAAATTCAGTGTTCATACTTTTAAACGTTTTTTTTTTTCGAAAGGTCGAAGAAAAAGAAAACAGAAGGGTGTAAAGCCTAATCCAAAATGCCTCAACACAAATGCGAAATGTATAAAGATATTAAAATAAAATTATTCACTTCAGGTAAAATGCGTACGGAGACGTGTACGGACTACAAGCCCGGCATTATTTTGACCCTATTCGACCATAATGGTTCATTTCGAATCGATTCCATTTCCTGCACAGATTGCACATTCATTTTGCATTCATGACACATGTGGGCTGGCTCTGTCCGTTTTACTTAGCTCAAACTTTGCCATGACACTGACAAATTTCACTCCATTTCTACTTCCGTTAAGAAAAGACAATTGCAAAATTTCGTTAATTATGTTCTGATTATCATGGATGGTTTAAAAGTGGTTTCGGTCTTTTCTGCGTCAAATCAAAATGAAAAATAATTTCTTTTTTCCGGGGAAGTAAAATGAATTTCGCAAAAGAACAATACGAATATCATATACATTGCATACTTACACAATGAGCATAACACCACAAACCACCGCTTTGTATGTGTGTAGTAGCTCCGAGCTCAGAATCCTTTATTCGCCCATACAATGTTGTCATCTTTATTCCATTGCTACGAATTGTAATAATGCTGAAATGTGCAAAGTTCTGCGAATTGAAACGACCAATTTCATCTTTTTTTCTGTCTGAATATTATCGTACGTTTATTAATGTGATTCTTTATGGAATTTCGTATGTTACATCTATTGTGTATACGCTGACTAAATTGAAACATTCAATTCAATGTTATAAATATGATTAACATTTTTGGAAACTGTTTTGTCTTGGTAATACTTTGATTTGATTTGATTTGATAAACACGTCATATGAGTGTAGAACATCATAGATTTTATTATTATTATTATTATAGCTACAAATAGACTAGACTTTCTGTTATTAACATGTATAGTTTTGATTAGCTATGTACAAGTGGTGCGCTGTTGTGCGCGCTCGCAATGATTTTTTCTGCTTTGTTTTGTATTCAAAACTGTGTTTGAGACCATTTACAAGATCCCATTCTTGACATTTTATTCGTAGTTTTTCTCCCTAACCGAAAACTGGTCATTCTATCTCGTCAAACTTGTGTTTTTTTCCTTCTTCTTTTTTCACTCGCAATCGAAAACTTAATTGAAATGAAATTAGAATTGTAACGAGCTAAAGCCAAAAGAGAAATTTTAATTAAGAACTAAAAGATTCCAACAATTGATTCTATCACCGTTGTTGGACACGCATCACATGTGGTTGTCGTAGTCGGAGAACAGATGACGTTTGTGCCACAATTTTCGGAATAATTGCCATTGTATGTCATGTGATTTCATCAGGTATTCGCTTCGAGAATAGTATGCTCGAGTAGAAGTTTTGGAATATATTGTATGTGCTAATGATGATGCTAATCATGATCGTTTGCATTATATTATTCGCAATGTAGGTTGATGTGCCGGTTTGCATTGCTTCTGGTCGCTCGCCTGCAAATAAAATCGATACAATTGGACAATTTGCTTGAGAATGCTGTATTTGTAGATTTGTATTGTTTGTTTACGAAATCAGAAATTACCGTGTAGGAAAACATGAACTTTGATACTCGTTCGACCGCCACTCGTTGGAGCGCACACGTAAATGCCCGAGTCGGTGATGTCAGCATCATTGATTAACAAATATGATGTTGTCCATTCATTGGAATGCGTTCTTACGGCAACGCGACCTCGTGGTGCGTCATAGTTGATTTCCTGCAAAATTGAATGAAATACAATTGAAATTTCAATCAAAGTCAAACAAAGATGACTGAAAAACAAATTCTGATTCGAAGAAAACGGAACTTTAAGCTGTTCAATTGAAATGCACCGGTTTATTGTTTTCACCAAAAGCTCACATCAATTCGTTGAAACTCAATGAATCTGGCCTCAATCGAAGATCAAATAAAGTTATCCCATTGAAAATGATATGATAACAAACAGAAATGGTGAAACATCGCAATTAACTTCTGGCTACTACCATTCAGACATGACTGAACAGTGTTCACCTTACCGATTCAATGAATATATAAAGATTGAGAAAGCATTTAGTAGCTAAAGCGAAAGCTTCAGATGGCTTTACATCTAGTTGTTTGAATGAACTGTCGGAACCACAAAGTTGAATTTAATAACTAGATATTGGAATTGAATTGATTGAATTAAAGAGAAGTCATGGAAATCGATTTTAGAACAGTACGAATAGAGAAAACAGATACTTGATTCTCCTAGTATCAAAAGCCCTATCAGAAACATTCAATTCAATTCGCATGACACTTTTTCATGAGAAAATAAGGAAATGAAACATTGCGTATTTCTGCTCTATTTGCATAGCAAAAGTTCACTTTATTTGAGTTGATTAAAGCAAGCTTGGTTAAACGAGTTGCTACCAAGTAAATAAGTATGTAACGACTGTGCTTTTCCCGCTTCGTATTCCCGCTTGTTGATATTATTATTATTTTTCTTTTGAAGTGAATTCCATCTCCGTGAGATATGACATTCGATGTAGAATATACAGACAATAATTTCTTAATAGAAGCAATTCAAGAGGCAAAACAATTTCTATTTATATTTGTGCATGTTTTCGATGTTTTTCATCTGTCCTAAACTCTAAATACAACAAAATCATTTCCCATCGACAATTTCTGTGTACACATTTATCTTCAAACCGGATCAAGGCGAATGTTTGCTTTTAACCGTTTGAATTGAAAACAACCCCACGATTTTCTTGTATTTTATTCAAATATTTGATTGAATTAGTTTTCCGTCTCTCTCTCTCTCTCTCATTCCGCCGCGTTTCCTCTTGTTCGCCATTCCCGAAATATCATAAATAAATGTAAATGCAGCCGAATGGAATGAAATACATACTTTACTGTCGTCATTGACTCCAGACCATTTTGCATTTCAATTCAGTGTTGAAAAAAATAAATGGATTTTCACGACCTCCACTTTTAACCGCGTCATAATTACGGTCTGAAGCTTTTTTTAATAAGCGCCGTTGTTTTTCAACAAAAAAAAGGTAACACAGATCCATTTCATGTTTTTAAATATACACAGCCATTGCTGAGGTGCATTCATCAAACAGAAAAAAAAAGCGTTGTGATAATATTTTCCGTCATTAATAATAGGGCGAAGCCTTAAAATTCACCAAATCGCGTTCATTTTAAATGGCTATTACACATTTAAACGGTTTTACATCAACAGGTAAATGCATTTTTCATGAACTCGGATAATCGCTTGAAGCGTCGTGCGCTTAATTATTTTTTCATTATTCGTTTCGTGTTTGATTTTTGGTAAACACAAGACATCATTTGCATCAATGGGTGTGGCAGTCATCCGTCGAGAATCGTCAAATGATTATCTCTACCTTGGTAACAGTGGAGTTCATTGAATAATAATGTCTCTAGTTATGTAATGCGATGACGGCAGGTGGCATGCGGGTCAATGGGCGAGTGCCATTCTTTGTAAAAATCTACCATCATTATTATAATTACATAAGCTACAACAGCGCATGCATGCCGTGTGTGTATCGCATGAGTGGCATAGTCGAATTATTATTGTTGAAATTTCAATAGAGCATATCAAATCATCAGTTTGTATGCGTGCACGTCAAACTTCTTCCATATCATCATAGTGACAATCGTGACAAATAAGACTTATAGCAGCCGCCCGATTCACAGAACTTCTACCGTCGGCAAATCAATTTAAACTTAATTGAATTTCACTTTCAAAACCGAAAACTTTTGCCATTCGACGAAAAGATGCTATCACATGGCACATCCAAAGTTATAACTCAAATGAAATTATATAATATCATCTACATTCACTACTATTTCCAACTAAACAAATTTTGACGAGATTCTCGGTGTTTTCATTTTAAAGCATTTTTATTTCTTCTATTCAGCTTCTATTCAGCTTCTCTCACTCACTCTTTATCCGTCCTTGTCGTTCGTTTGGCAAATTTGTGTCAATTGCATTACGATTTCGCCCCAAAAATCCCAAGTGAAGAGACACTTGAATCACCAGATTTACATTAGATTGTAAATAGATTCACTGGTTTCATCTCATGATTTTTACCACAATTCATGCACGACATGGCGCAAAAATAACAAGCCAACCATCGCAGAATGTTCAACGGAGAAAACGAAACCAAATATGACATTCTCCGTTTGTGTAGTAACACTTTCAATATGAAGTGCGGAAAAATTTTGAGCTTATGAAATAGTTTTGGAATATATTGAATGAATTCACGCGAGGTGAACACATCACCAACTCGTACTTTATATTCATGAATACGGACAGTTTTCCACCATGAGCACGGAATCATTTGACGAAGTGGGAAGAATCGGTGCAAAGGCTGTGCATGTGAGTGTATGTGTGTAATTTGATTTGTTCATTTGCCGCTTCGGTGACAGAACAGTTGGTTTTAGTTGCGAACGCAAACATTGCGTTATTTGTTTAGTGACGACATATTAATTTTACACACAATTTTAGAATATTTCATTTTATATTTGCCCATGCCGTTGAAATGAGATTTCCTTTTGCAGCTGTCAGTTTTCGAAACTGAGTTTTGCTCATTTTTGTTGGCGCTAGCAATCGGCCTAAAATTAAGAGGAGCAGCTCATTCACAATGTATGTATTATGCATGAATCATATATGCGTCCATGTTTGCTCCCACATCAGCGTCAGAATTTCAGCAGCAATTATGTTTTAATGAGGTTGCATAAGAGTGTTCCCAAATCAACTTGAATTATTACCAAAGAATTTAATTCCATAAATTAAGTGCACGATGAGGGAGATAACAGATAGCAATATGCTACAGTCTCTTGAGTATTTCTTTGTAGTTAGAGAAACGATGTGTCACAGATAAGTGAAATGACAAAGAAACTTTGTCACTTTGTAACAATTGTCTCCTTTGATATACGCTATATGGGCGCGCTCTGTCTCTTTCTCTCGTTGCTTTGATGCGTATCTGGTCGTACCGTTGCTACGCAATTCATGCTCAATGAGCTCGAGTTTATTGGCAACAATATTAGTGCATGCACATGAAATAAATGATAATTATGCAAGCAAAAGACTTTGTAATCTGTACACAAGATGAACGAAATTTTGTGCAAGAGTGTTGGGTGTGTACGTTCGTTCTTCTTACCACCACTACCACGAGCACAGTAAAACTTTTTCAATGGTGTACAATTTCATGTGTACAAGTTATCGTTAACCACACAACCGTTGCAAAAGATAACAGAGCATGTCTCTTGGGTGTTTCACATCGTTTAATTTCAAGTCAAGCGAAAGTTGAACAAGATCAAGGGGTACTTACGAAATATAGGACATTTACATTGGAAACTAAAATGCCATCGTTTGGCCATTGGAAGCAGTTATGAACGCAGTTCACTTTGTCCACCATGGAATTTGGTTACATAAGGGCCTATATGAAAATTATAGCTTTGACATGGCTGTAGCCAATTGGCTAAGATTGATAGATAGCATTTGTGCAAACCAGTGAAGAGGTATTCTTCGTCGCTGAATGACGGCGACATTTCAGTTAAACGAATCCAGTCTCCAATCGGATTAATTTAGCAATGCTTTTTATTAGAATTTAAGCTACAATATTTGATTGGTTGAACCCCCATCACGGACAACTCTCCGTAATAACGAGCATGCATATCTATACAAGGCTAGTATGGTTAACGATGCCATCGAACATTTCCAGCAATTAACTGATAAAATTCATATCGTACAATTTTTTTCCACTTTGATTTTCCGAAAACAATGCGCTAATCTATTTCTGTCAATTGAAATATTCAAACAATTCCGACACAATGAAATAAATTCCATTTTCGCACGGAAATGAGTCGTAAAACTCATTTCATTATTAAATTCGCATCGAATTTCATTAAGCTCAAAATTTCGATTCCTTTGTATGCATTAAAAATTAATTTACAGTGACGCATGGTGCACACAGCATTCGAATCCGATTTTAATATTCAAATTGCTTAAATATGATGGAATCAATCGAAAAGAAAACAACAACTGCAACAATGATGGCCGTTCGGCCATACAGCGAAAAACCACAAGCATTCTGCGATGCCGAATGCATTTTTAATGGTGGAAAAATGGCGGCACAACTTTTTTCGCCAGGAAAAAAACACGTCGTTGAAAATGTGGAGACCATTTGCGAATTTTAATTAAAATTAAACATGAACTAATTTATTTATTTGGTGCGTTTGGTAAGTGATGTTACCCAAAATGGAACCAACAATCATTTTCAGTGCGTTAAATATCCGGACACCGAATTTATTATTGCACACTAATTCATGATGATGGTGATGCCATTTGTGTGTGTGTGTACGTTTGCGCTGACAAAGTTTTATTGTTCAAGCTGTTGTCGTAAAAAAAATGGGCCGTTTGACCAGCAAATGCCTTAACATTTCTGCATTTAAATCGTTTCAAATATAAACTTTGGGATCATCAACACTTTACTCTCTCTCTCTCACGCGAGTTTTAAAGCTCGTTTATTCCACCATCAGGTTCATTCACTCGTGTTTATGGTTGAACCAATTGTTTAAATATTTTATTTTGGTGCGTGATACACGTTTGATTATTATTTTCCTATATGAAAATATTGGGAACGTGTTTGTTTTCGAACGCACAATGGCAACAGTTAGCGATCGCGGTGCACGAGGAGAGAGAGCATCGAGAGCTTTCAAAAATATTGCCATAGAATGAATTATAATTATTCTGTGATATCGTTATTGTTATCCATTGCATGAAAAATAACTACTTGAATGCATCTCCCCACCGCTTCTCTACCTGGTGGTAATAAATTTTCAATTTAATTCTGCATAAACACAAACATATATTCATGTGCACTTATACTGGTGCTCAGAGCCGAAAGTACAACATTCCGAACCCTTATAATTCTTTTGACTTTTCCATGGCATAATAATTTTGCATCGCACGGCGCGAGTGTGAGAAAAAGTGAGAGAGAAAAAAACGCGGCACTTTATGTTTATATTTTATGCGAAATATTGAATAATATGCGTTCACAAAAAGCTGAAGATATGGAGTGTGAGAAAAACAACAACCGCAACAGCAGCAGCAACAACAACAACAACAACAACAACAACTGTTCATTTTATACCGTGAAATCAGCAATAAAAAATATTGCATAGAAACTATGGGGTAAAAAGTGCTCCACCTTTTCATATAATGAGCGGTAATGTTGGGCAAATGGTGTGCACCATTTTTCAAAATTAATGCCATACGAGCTACAGATTCTTCATTGAGTGGATCGTCGTGTTTTTGTGCGTTTATTTCTTCTACTTGATGCACTCATTTCCGTCGCGATGTTTTTCGCTTCTCAAACAAAGAAGAACGGTTCATGCATGGAAAATTGAAGAATATGTACTTAATTTTCGAAACAAATTAATGTTCAACAATAATTAATGCATCCCAGAGCGACGATTGTTCTGCACTGACATCACAAACTTTGTACACCGCAGCTGATGCTTTTGCATGGTCGATGCGATACAGATCTATGCAATGAAACTAGTACATATCACACCAAGTCTTTGCGGTTCTCGTCGGAAGATCTTGCTGTTGCAACGATGACGTTTTTACACGGGCATCCGTTTTAATTCTTCTTTTTTTTCGTTAAAGTTTCGCGTTTGCAACAGACTCGTTTGTCAGTGTTCATTTCGAAGCAGTTTATCATCGTCAGGCATCATCTCTCATTTTTCGCGGTGCGCTTAAGCGCGCACTTAGTTATGAAGAACGGTAATGAATTACACGACAATATAAAGTAAACTTGGCGAATAAAAGATAAAGTTTAATGCTTTTAAATTATGGAACTTTTGATGATGACACAAAAATGAGCGCATACTTCACATAGTCTTTTTTCGGATCGTTCGTTCGCGTTTTTTTTTACCCTACCCTTTCCATTCTACACTGAAGCACTTACGCTACGTAGAAAGTGTTTTACTCAAAATTGGAAATCGAATATCGTACCATAGTTGCTGGCCCACGCTTGATTTTATGATCGAAAATTGAAAAGAAATCAACCGAAAAAGAGAGCGAGCAAAAGCAAAGGATATTTGCGAAGAACTTGAAGTTGAAGCGAAAACTACGGCGGTTTTGCTCTTATTCCAATATTTGCTCGTTTTATTGTGGTTCACAGAAACGATTCCGTGCTATCGCATAACTTTCATTTGTAAGCTATCATTACACGATGCAATTTTCATTAGCTGGCTTAATTGCTGGCACTGCACATTTCTTTTTGCCGCTTTCATTTCGCGAAATGAGAAGATGCAACTCAAGTGCTTCAATCATTCGAGAATTAATTTGAGCGAGAAAAGAATCCGCAATTAAAATTGAGATTTGATATAAGTTTAATAGTTTTGATATTGGGATAGTTGAAGAATTCATTCTTCGAATCCGAATCCGAATTCAATTCGAAGCGCCGATGTATAAGGAGAAACCATTTGCGCCATCAAATGCGAAACGAGGAGTATCGCAAGATAAATTGCTCGAAGTCGAACGACATTTTGTCTTTGAATTATATGTACTTTGCGATCTAATAATAATGGATGCTGTCTAAATACACACACGGTATAGTGGCTAACACTTGAAACGCTCGAATGAGTGAGTAATTCGCATTTGTTAGTGCGACTCTGTTTGTATTGGCACTTCGAGCGGGTGATGATAAGCTCATAGCATCGAAATCGCTTGGCAAAGTTTTATTTATTGGGTCGATGTGTGTGCATGTGTGTGTGTTATGTTGTGTTGCGTTGTGTTGTGTGCGAATATAAATCAAATCAAATGGTTTGTAGTGCAAAGGCATGTGAGGTATTTTCTGCCTAATGTGGTTTTCACGATAACATCGACAACGATATAAGTTTGCCGACATTAAAGTTCTATTTGCCGGTCGATAAATAGGCATTTGAAATTGACTTTTCCGTGCTTTCTCGCATCCAAGTAAGAAAGACTACGGCAGAAAGAGGGACAGAGTAGCAATATCGCAATCTCGTCGCAGAGATACAACAGTATTGTTCATGCTTTAGTAGCAACAAACTGCACAACAAAATGACATAATATGGCAAATAATTTCTTCGGTGAATTGTGTGTGTGTGTGTGCGGTATGTGTCTGCTTTAAGTCTCACAAATAGGTCTTTTGACAGAAAATAAATTCTATTCGTTACCGCATACACGCAGACAATTGACTCATCCTGCTATGGTTCAATCCATTTGGACGTTTTCAGTTTGATCGCCTCGTTTTATTTTCAATACCAAGCAGAAAAATGGCTCACGAAATTCGTCGAAAGAGAGTTCTCGGCATCGGATAAATATTGGCAAAGACGTTAAGCATGCAGACCAACGACAGATCCAAATTGGATAAACAGGATATGAAGCAAGTAAAACACATAATGAAATAACATACACCGAAATACTGGGCAGATATGTTGCGGTTTTCATTCATCGGAATGGAAAAGAAATTCTCAATGTGCTACCGAGCGCGTAAAGCGCGCACACAGAGAGGGAGATTTGAGATACATTGGAAACGAAAGAAAAGCAAAAGACTAACAAATAAATTTCGGAATCATTCGAACAGCAGAAGAGGAAAACTGAGCAAAAGCAAAACTAAAACCTATGATTGTTATTTACCACTTGCAATCGAAATAAATAAAATCGTGTGTTATCCGAAGCGACCGCACCTACACATTTCGTTTGTACGCACCATTGCGAAGCGCTCGCAGCATTTGCACGATTTCCGACTCACAATACCGCACACACAACACACATACACACACACATCAAATCTCTTTCATTTTCTCTTCTCACCAAAGGCAATGATTCAAGCTCTAGCAATACTTAATCCTATTAACTGATGTTGGCGAAAATCTAACGTCGTGTGTTTTTCATCATCCAACTGAAGAAAGTACTATCGTCGCTGGTCACACATACACAAACAAACAGCGCATATGGAACGTTTGGTGCACACACAAGAAATCGAAATGAAAATAATTTCAGTATCGTTATATTATTTTCGTTATTACGCCGAGAGCTTAGTGCGGGCTGTGTTGAATGCGTAAAACCAAATAAATGAATGCCACAATGAGAATGGATGACAATTGGTGGCAGGGAAAAAAAAACTCTGTACCGAAAATCTAATGTAAAAATGCAGACAAATGATACTCACCTTGTTTTCGTGATACCAGAATATATAGCCGGGTGGTTCTGGTCCAAAACGTATCGTACACGTTAGGTTTATCGTGCTTCCTTTATCCACATATAAGTCGGGTCCTCCCAAAATTGTTGCAGCGGGCTCTGCAAATCCCCAACATCCGGCACATCAGTTATCGATAAACATAAATACACATGAAGAAAAAGAAGACAGAATAAAAATGAGATGTATACATTTTTTCTGGCCCAAAATAATGAAACAAAAAGAAAGTATGCCTGAGCGATATTCTGTATTTATAATTCAATTTTGACAAATGGAAAATATTGGTTTTAGATTTACTTATACACTAACAGATATTTGCGCTTCATGCCTTTGCACATAATGCTGAATATATTCTTCAAATCCTCTTCCGGAATTTTTTTCCCTACCGATCGCATTTTTGCTTCATTCCACAGAGAGGAAGAGAAGAAAATAAATTCTCCATACATTTCTATCTATCAGTCATAGATACAAAAAATGTTTTCGCCACATATTTATAAACGTATTTATACATATTTTTATGCTATTACATTTGATTATGATGATGATGATGTGAACAGAGAACGTAAGTGGATGAACTATAGTTATTGAGCGACATAAAACCGTGAATAAATGGTATCACCGAATTTTCGTTCTAAACCAAGAGGAAAACTCGATAAACTGTGTATAATATTTCAATGTAACGATCAGACTAAAAAGCGCAGGAATTGTTTTTCAGATTGACAACACGCCCACAGGAAGAATGGAAGAAGTATATTTGAATATATTTGCAGAGTTGACATGGGCACCTACGGGGTGCCGGAACTTACTTGAGTACGCACCTAGTACTATTAAAAAACACTTTTTTCACAATATTTTTGGATGTTTTGGAATTTGATTATTTTCATCATCTAAATATCATAGATTTATTTAAAAAAATACATCAAACTCAAAAATACTCAAAATTTTATTTGAATAGTACTAGGTGCGCACCCAAGGTAGTAAGTGCCGGAACCCCGTAGGTGCCTATGTCAGCTCTGCATATTTGCCTCTTATGAGATGAAAAAAATATATATCATCTAATCAAAGAAGAGAATTGCGTTAGTCTCTTTTTCATCTCTCAAGCTGTGCATCTTGATCTGATTTTCTCATGCTCATATCACGCTGTTCAGTATTCAAGCAATTTACTGCACTACAAACAACGGATATGTTTAATTTCTAAGTTCAAACACAGGATGTAGATGTTCGCCTTGTCATTTCCGTGTATCTTTGGTATTTCGATGGATTCCAAGAATGCGGTTGGAAAATTCATCAAAGCACTTAAAATTCCTCGAATTCATCAAATTCAATGTAGAAAAGTTATATAGAAATTCCTCAAACACTTTGATTGTTGTTGTTGTTATGCATACATTTTGGCTTTGGGATTGGGTTTGAGCATTTAATGCTATGTGAAACTACATAAAATTAATTAACGTTGCGGTTAGTTTTTGATTTTTGTTAAATTGAATTTTAGCGAGCTGCATGCTTATTTCTTCCACTTTCATCGATTTAATTTTTCACTTTATGCAATTTGTTAAATCGCTTGCATGCAACGTGTATACGTGTGTTTGCACTGAAGCCATGCGGCTTGTGTAAGTTTGTGTGCAGCTTACAAAATCAAATGTGATAGACGGCAGAGAAAATTGTGGGAAGAAACGCTTCCTACGACATACATAAATTATGAACTCAATGATGGAATGTGAGACGAAAGCAAAATCACAGAAGACGTTACCGACTCAGGTGAAGCTTAATAATGTCGAGTAAAACCTCAAACAACACAAATAAAAAGTCGAATAAAGTGAAAAACACGGAAGTCAGAAAACTTTTCGATTAGAAAATGTAATTCGGCTGCTATAGTTTTTTTTCTGCTATCGCATTCTGCTTTCGTTCGTTCATTTTTTTTTCGTTACCTCTACATCAAACTTGTGTTCAGCAAATCGATATGTTTGAGCTTATCTACGTTTGTGTGTGTATGTGTGTGAGAGAGTGTTTTTCCCATTACCAGTTCCGTCGAAAAGTTGAAATTAAAGAAAACATTGGCAAAAAAAAAAATCGACTGAAACACAAACAAAATGTTTTCTTTCATGTTTCTAAAAAGTTCGTGATTGGCTTTTTGTGTGTCTGTTTGCATTCGGCTTTGTACAGTCATTTTCAATGATGGTTTTTCAGGAGATTTCCCCACAAAAGAAATCGTATGTCTCTGGTTGATAACATAACACACAACCTCCAACGGAAACTACGATAAATGCAGTTTGCCGTAAATCAATAACCTTCGATAACAAAATTTACTTTTAGCTACTAGTATAAGAAAACATTCGTTTGTTTCAAACTTTGCCTGTGGAAATATGAAACATTTCAGATTGTGTTTTTTTGGCATTTTTGCCTCATCTTCTCCTTTCCGATGAAATCAATGCAAGTTTTACGTGCACTGCTCCGGGCAAACAGATTTTGATTCATACGGCTTGATATCGTCGAAACACCTACACATAACTGCAAGAGAAATGGCAAAATATGAACATCATTGACTGACGTTTCAAAGGAGCGAATGATCGATATATGGACCTAACCCACTTTTCAAGAATGTACGACCATTCCATTGGCGTACTCAATGATTCACTCTATTTCGACGATTGAATGGCAGCATCCATCCTCGCATTCATTCAAGAAAAATGAAGTTAAGTATGGTAGCGTACACACACACACACACCTTTGCTCTCTCTATTTTCCTCTCATTCACTTGTAAGGATGGCAAAATTACCGAATCGAGATTATGTGTGAGCATTATGTTTGCTCTATGCTCTATATAGAGTTCTTCTGCACACATCGTTTTGAGATGACGAGAGAAAATCAAAACTCATTGAAACGAAACAGACACTTAAGGGAGATGGTCTAGTTATGAGACGGGTTTTGTTTTAGATTTAAAAAAAATTCTGTGGCTTTCAAAAATGGAAAGTTAGAGTTCTATCATGTAGCTTATGTCCAGACGCAACTTTTTTCCGATGAAAGTTTATTGATTCCAGTTACTCGAAAAAAAATTTGACCAATTTTGTGAGGGCTATTTTTTTGGCCCCAAAAAAATTTTGGTCCAGTTATGAGACACCCAGAAAAATTGAATACAAGTGAATAAATATGAAGGAAACTCATCATAAAATGTTCAAATATTATTCTTTATTTATTATAAAGGCCTTCAATGGCTTAAATATAGAAAATTGGGCCTTTAATGGCCTTACATGCTTCAAAACGGACATGGTTTCCGGAAAAGTCAATTCAGCACTTTCCATCGGTTTTCGTCCACGATTCGACTTTGGTTTTGGAGTTTTGCCTTGTAGAGGGCCAACCGCATCCAAAACCGACGAAGTGTTGCTTGCAAGAGACATTAGTGACACCGAGCTGGATAGTTCAGAGGGCTCAGATGTTAACACCTCTTCTTCACGACCAACAGGATCAATGGCATCGTTGAAAACAATACGTCGCTGGATGTCTTCGGTGATATCAGCATCAATAGCCACTTCTATGTCATTTTGTTCAACGGCTTGGACAAAGTCAGGGTCAGTAAAGATGTCCGGATTATATGGAGCAATGCCCGTTGCAATGAAGCTTTTTTGGAGGAGACATGGCTGAAAATCCGAGAATATTAGTTAAAATACAATTGTAATTGCATATAAATGCGTTTTGACAACAAAAACGACGAAATATGACGTTTCTATATGCTTTCAGTGCAAAATCTAGAGTGTCTCATAACTGGGCAACACGGTGTCTCATAACCGGATCGAGACGCCATTTTGAACATTACTCACAAAAAAATTTCCACAACCCATAATCGAACAATCCGAACTAGAATCACAAAATATAATCAAAATACAACATTTTAATGCATTACACTCACCTTTTTAACTTGATTTTCACAAAAAATTGGCACTATGAAAAATATTCCAAATCCTTTTTTCACACGATTTTCAACACGATGTTTGGTGCGTATACAAGCAATGCGTCTATTCACTTCCGTGTTCGCCTAAAAACTGGCGGACATCAAATAAAGGACATTGACAGTTCTCATACCAACATTTCCATAGCATATGAGAGAAATAATTGACTGTCTCATAACTGGCGCTGTCTCATAACTAGACCATCTCCCTTATGTAAATCAGATAGTCGATTTATTTCCACTGGCAATGGAGTGAACGTGGCGGACAAAAAACGTATCGAAATAAAATCGAGTCCAATCAATCATTGTGTTTGGAGTTCTTTTTTTTCTTCTTTTTCTCTCTATCTGCTGCGCTCATTTTGGCATTTCACCTTCAATTTATTTGCTGACATTATTTTCCTTGTGTTGTGATTGTCGTTCAGTCGGTGAGCGATAGAAAGTGGTGGAGAGCAAGAAAGAAAGAAAGAGAGAGAGAGAGAGAGAGAGAGAGAGAGAGAGAGAGAGAGAGAGAGTGAACTGAATGGCTTCACGATGGATAGCAAAGCGTTCCACACAACCATTGCACTAGATTCGCATGTGAACGTGCGGGAAAACGTGGAATGCAGATAAATCCTTCATTTTCTCATTCTATTTCTTGGCTTCGTTTTTTTTTTCATTTCATTTGATCAAATTTATATTGTATTTTGGGCGAATCCCAGTCTCCTATTAAAATTCAAATTCAAGGTATACAAAATCTTTTTTCTTGTATCTATGCTGGTATTTCGCTGTCGCAAAATGTCTGTGAGTCAATGTGTATTTTTGCAGCAGCAAACAACAAAGAAACGAAGAGGCAAACCGATTCACCGAGTGAATTCTCGCATGTCTTTTCGCGCCAGAAATTGCTCGGTGTTTTATAAATATATTCCATTTGTAAACGGCACACACCGGATAGCACACAGGTACACAATGTTCCAATGGACTGGTTTATTGCTATACATACATTCATAATGCAGTTTCTGTGAAGAATGAGTGTAATGTAAACTTTATTTAGATTTGAAAATAAAATCAGCCGTTGGAGCAATCGACGAGAGACACTTCTCACGACGGGCCATTGAATTTGGTGGACTGAAATTGCAAAAGCACACTAGAAAACGTGATTGAAATTGAAGGTAGATGAAGCGA